AATTTGGAGTAATCGACCTTGGACTTTGGCAGATATGTGTTTCTTTCTTAAATCCTGTTCTTATTCTCCATTAATAAAATCGTAATAAAGAATAAAACTATAAACTATGAATAAATAATAATATATGCAGAGAAATTAAAATTAATTTCAACTAAAATGTAGTAAATATCAGAAGAATACTCGTTTTTAAATAAGATTAGAAAGAACAAACTCGGAAATAGAACAATTTACGAGTAATTCGTTGAAGATATCAATCAAACTTCACATTACTACAATGTATATTCACCTTGGGTGTTAATGCAACCGTGTACACTCAGATATAATATCAAACAGATGGTTAGTAAAATCCTACGCTGTTTTTTCTCATGCTTGTTGAGATTATAAATGTAACGTTTACATGTGTATTGAATACTGCTTTCATATACTGCTTGATTCATCTTGTATGTATCTAGATATTTTGACAAAATTCAAAATTTAATATACAATGTTATCAGCTCTTGTTGACATCTCGAGTTCAGTCACATTTTCAACGACATAATCTAATCACCCTGTGAATTATCAATAAACATTTCAATGGCAATTTTTATGGTAAACTTTCTTCAACTTCATAAATTATAGTAATAATTTGGTAGCTAGGTCTAATCGTTTTACTATTAAAATTACTAGATATTACTGCAATTGTTTTTTTTCCGAGAGATTCTTCCCCCGAACTTAGAATTGTCATAAATTTTAACGGCTCCTTCATTTACTGTCAACTAAGAATTTATAAAATTAAAATCCAGTCTCAATCGTCATCTTCTGTCACCTTTAATCCTCTTCTCTATTATGGCGAACTGAACAAATGTGGCATCATCAGAACCTGCCTCGTATATAATCAATGGGAGACAGTTCTAGTGACGGTGAAGGAGTCGAAAATCCTTCCCAGCTTGTTGACAAGCAAAGGCTTTATATCGGCTACCGCTATTTTTCAAGTCAGCGCACACTTGTTGTAGGGATCACAGTAGAACCGGTCTTCTAGACATATATAGAGATATTCATCGTCACCATCACAAACAGAAAAGGGCATGAAATATTTTTAACTTATATTACACTCCATGATACCACGTTTTAGACTTGTTTGTCACTGTCAAATGCAATTTGGAAGATGTCTCCTCATTGCTTGAATTCGTAAATGCAAACGCTCTTCACTTACATATAGGTAAAAATCTGCGTTAATTCCTGGAATTTGCAGAGTCATTTTCTATCCCCTAGTCGAACCTCTTTCAGCGGCAATAGAAGTATACTTAAGATGATTAATACGTATGTAGTCGTCTTGGTCGTATCAGGCGCGCGGATGTGCCTGCATCAAGAAACAGATGCATCAAGGTGTGTAAATCCATCTCTGGGTTGCAATGTTTTCTCATGTATGTCAGGGACGTCGTGTAAACTGCCAGAGTAACCCTAACAATGCGCCAAACATGGCTCTTAAGAAACAGCTCTACCACGTAAGCAATTTTTTATTGAACACTGTTGCCACAATTTAAGGCTCTATGAAGTGTCACATCAACTTGAACGCCTTTCGCAACGACAAAATCAGATCTTTCTTAAATAACCTTAATCGACATGGATCAACATATTTTACGTTGGGCCATTAATCTACTTCATCTTTTACGTGGTTGGCTATATATATATATATATATATATATATATATATATATATATATATATATATATATATATATAACTATTTATTTTAGGATATTAAAACATAAATTTACACAGAATTGGTGGTCTTATAGATGTAAGAAATTCTACTGCAACCAAGGTTGAGAAATTAACGAAATGGTTCATATATTAGTAGTACTAAGTATTCTTTTAAGACTAGGTAGGATCAAAATATTGTCTCATTCACCAATAGTATTTATGAAAATAGTACTTGGCTTTCTAAATGTTTTTGGAAGTTAAAAGAAACAAATAAATCTTCCAGGTAAAATGGAAAAAAAACAGAACATATAAATTTTTAAATGAACCCTTTTTTTGTTCTGACAGGAAAAGTAGAAATTATCAGATATTTTTTTATAAAAACCTCTATTAAATCAAAGAAGTGAATTGACTGTAAATTGTAGGCATATATATTTTACGTTGTGCCATTGCGCGAATCTATGCAGTGGTGATATTGAGCGTCCATGATCCCTTTCCATAAGTCATGGCCGGTAAAACATGTGTTATATATATATATATATATATATATATATATATATATATAGTTATATTGCAGGGATAGATTTATGAAAGCAAAGTTTGCAGTCACTGCTATCAACTTCATATTACTTCTCTTGTGAAGCTATGCGCTTCGTTAGAGTATGGTGTCGTTGCTGAAAACTCGTTTTCCGGAATATATTTCAGTAATACATCTCTCGGCTAGTATTCCGCTATTCATTGAATTTTCACTTTTGGAAATAACCCCAAATCACCGAGCGCTAGTCTGGTGAATGCAGTGGATGGCTCTATTTTGTAATGGATCCAATATCAAGGCTCACGCGAAATCTTACCGTTTTAGTTTTCCAATTCCCAAACCCATTTTTATAATCTGACACACTGTTTCCGGTTTTCATATTTAGTGTTATGTTATTTGTTTCTTAATTTTTCATATGAGCTCATTCATATACACACTCAGGCTGCCCACAATTTGTGATAACTTACGCAGTAGTACAGGTTCTTCCTTGCGGCGCCGTACTACTAAAAAAAACAATTTATTCATAACATATTCGCTACGAAGTGAATAACCTAGGCTGGTACAACGAAGAGTGGTAAGATTTCAAAAGTTAGTGCCTCAAAAGAGTGGAATTTAGGCAGAACACTATTCGTCCAAAATCTAAAAGAAAATGAGACATAAAGAAATGAAAGTGTGCTATGTTTTCCACTTCACTTCTCCATGGTTTTGAATTCAAAGTTGTCCTTCCTCAATTTTCTACCAAGGCCGGATATTTCTATATAAAAGCATAGCAAACAATTTTAGATTGAGATACATTGAAAATTAAGAAAAAAAATGAGATTTTCAGGGATAAAGAATTAATTCGACTATTATTAACAGTATAGGGTTATTTATGCATGATATTACTGGAATGCTTTAAAAGTGAGAATAACCTTTGTTTTCTCCGGTTTCCAATTCCCATAATAGTCATTAGTGTATCTGCAATAAGTAACAACCTTTTAATAGAGTTATCATTACACTATTACATTACACTAATGCTTTTCATAATATTCATAAAGAATATCGTATTAATCCCTTTACATATTTTCTATAAACATTATAACATGAACGCGTGAAACATTTCCAAATGTTCTGCAACGAATCTCTAATACGATTTGCGTCTCTGGAAAGCGAATGTTGGGACGGGCATGTGTGCATGGGTGTATGTGTGAGAGAGTGAAAGAGAGAGACAGAGAGTTAAAATACGATTGTTATATATAAGATGCACGCCACTGATTACAAATATATATATACCATGCAGGCACGGTGGAGTAATGGATAGCGGTTCGGATTGAGAAATCGGATAGCCGATTTCGAATTCCAGTCAAGTCCATTTCATTCACAAACGTGCTAATACCCTCGGGAACGGTATGAATCCTATACTTCTCCCACAAATATGGGTAAATAGCGGGACATACCGGGTTATATAACCTTGGATGGCCATTGGTCTACTGCAGAAAGAAATGGAAACCTTCTGCAAGAAAAATTCTGCCTCGTCAGTCATGTATCGAAAGGTGCATAATAGCCTAAGCGTGTATCACACATGGCACACGACTGACTGATACCTTGCAGACAAGATTAATTTAATTTAATTTTCGCGAATATAACTTCTTTCTTTACTCATATTCTTCGTATATACTTTGTTTCCCCCAAGACAATTTTCGGGAACTAATCAAACGAAAGAGTTAATTTTAAAATGATTATACTGTATTAGGTGTGAGATATGAACGTAAGAAGAGATAATAAGTGAAGATTACGAGGATAAATAACGATGGACTATTGACTCGAAGAACTTAGGATTACAATATCCAGAAAAGCACCAATGCCAGTTTCTTTTCTAGAAAATTATCATGGAATGCGCCAGTTTTACTGTTTTTAATTGTTGTACCGAATGAATAGAACTTATGGACATTAATAATATTGCTTTAGACATGTTTGCTAGATTGATTTTGTTTTATTGGCTGCTTATAAATCATTAGTTGTTTATTTAAAGCCGAAAAATTCGCATTGCATAAGGTTATATACAGTACAAGCTTTAGAGACAGAAAATGTAATACGCTCTAATATGAACATTGCTTTCTAACGATATATCAACATTTAGGTAGATTTGGTAAATAAAAAAATCATTTAAAAAATGTATTATAAAAAATCAAAAGAAATAAATGCTGAACGCTTTGTTTCAACTACAATGTAGACGTTTACAGAAAATCAAAAGTGTAATTCAGTAAACTTTTTAAAGTTTTTATAAAAACAAAAATTTCTATAATTTTAACATGGCTATAAAAGACAATTCGGAAAAATGAAATAAACTACTGAAGTTAAATTATTCAGCAAATAGGTCATCGTGACCGAAGATAAATTTTAACATGACTATAAAAGATAATTCGCTTAAAATAAAAAATATACAAAATAAAAATAATTCAGTGCCTTCGTGAAAACCAATTACACTGTTAAAATGTTTCAGTAAATTGGAAAAGCACAAATGATGCAAACTGTTACTTTGTCCATATTTTGTTTAATTTTAAAAGGTATTAAGTAATGAACACGTCATTTGTTTGTTACTTAAATTTAAAAAGAAATTTTAATTTAAATTTAAATTTATAACTCTTCTTCCTCCTCTTCTTCTTCTTCTTCTTCTTCCATGTATTGTATTCTTCAGAACGTGGGCGATCATGTTTCTTCACACTTTCTTGTCCTTTGCAGCTCTTAGTAAAATTGATATTTTTCCTATCTCAATAATCCCTGTTCTGCTAATCATTTACAAAAGCTCGTTTTTCTTCTTCTTCTTCTTCTTCTTCTTCTTCTTCTTCTTCTTCTTCTTCTTCTTCTTCTTCTTCTTCTTCTTCTTTTCCGCTTCCCCCTCTTCTTCTTCTTCTTCTTCTTCTTCTGCTGCTGCTGCTGCTGCTGCTCTTCCTCGGCCTCTTCTTCTTCTTCTTCTTCTGCTGCTGCTGCTACTACTCTTCCTCGTCCTCTTCTTCTTCCTCTGCTGCTGATGATAATGATGCTTCTCTTTTTCCTCCTCCTCCTGTTCTTCTCCTTCTTCTTCTTCTTCTGCTTCTCCACTTCCTCCTCCTCCTATTCTTCTTCTTCTTCTTCTTCTTCTTCTTCTTCTTCTTCTTCTTCTTCTTCTTCTTTCCTCGTCCTCTTCTTGTTCTTTGTTCCCTGAAACTTCAGGATGTAACCGGTCATGGCTTTCCCCAATTTCCTGTCATCTGTATCTCTTAGGAATATATTTTTGCTATCTTTCCTAAATCCTGTTCTGCCAAATATACGAATTTCATACGAATTGCACAAGCTCCTTAGGTGGGTTATGCGCTGCTTTCCACCATTGCTCTGGCCTTCAATATATTCTTTGATTGTTAAACGTTCTCAACCCTCATTCCTCATTGAACACACTGGGAATTTCAACTGCCCATTTATGATGCTACTTATACGTGTTTTTTTTTTGCTTTCATTTTCTCTAAAACCCCATTTTGGCTCACATTTTCAGTCCATGGTATTCCCAGTCTCCTTCTGTAGAATTACATTACTTTTGTTACGCTATTTTCTGGTTTTTTTTCCTGTCAACGTAACTATTTCCCTTTTTTCTTTCATTTGTTTTTTTTTTGTTTTTTTGTTTTTTTTGTTTTTTTTTTTGTTTTTTTTGTTTTTTTTACAGATTTTCTCTGCGCAAAGAAATGCACGGAGTTCTTTCGAAATTTATTTTCATTAATAAAATGACTCAGAAGTTGTACTACTCGTGAGTAGCTTCCTCCTGCTAATGCAGTAAGATTCTGTGATACGTTGGACTGTTTTAGAAAACCTTTACTTCGATAGACAATAGTACGTTTGCACAGAAGTAACATATTATTGCACAATAATGCCACCCAATAAAGGACTGACCGAAATCTCTTCCTGATATGGTTGGGACGTTTGATCGCATCCAACACATTGTACACCATCAAATTATGTTCTATCTGAGGCCATCAAATGGCATATTTCAAGAATAACATATTGAGGCGTTGGTACGCTGATAGTACAAATGCATCTATGTTATTAGTGTGGATATATATATATATATATATATATATATATATATATAAACTGTCGTGCAAAATTTTGTGTCAATCATATAAAATGAATATAAACATTGATTTTGTTTAGATTATCTGGCAGTATGATTGTATCATTAGTGTTTTGAGCTTTCGAAAATCAACTGTTGCATTTCCGCATGTATAAGAAATACCTTGTAACACAAACGTGAATGATAAACAAATTTAAGCATTTAAAACCTGAAAAAATACTTCTAAAACTATTGGTCCACTTAATGATCTGAGGTGATAAAGATATGATAATATACAAATTTCTAAATAGTTTTGTTCAGTCTTATTAACATTAGTACAATGTGCTGTAGTAGGTCAATCTTGAATATTAACTTGTTTTCTTTCACTAAAATCATGGCAAAAGATTCGACTGAAAAAAAAGAAGTTTTTGACTTTGCCAGGAAAGATGACAATATGTAATATAGCCAGGCGATTTGAGATTTCCAAGAAACAGTATGCAAATCTTCTCTTGCAACTAATAGGAGTGCTTTAATTGAAAAGAAAGCGGAAAGACCACAAACGTTAGACAAGAGAGACAAAAGAAATTAACAGCCAGACAAGTGATCAGTGTATGTAGAGTTAAAGACGGGATTTCACTTGATAAATTGCATAGAGTATTACAGAAAAGATCAACTTGGACTGGTATACAAACAAAAAAAATCTATTGCGAAACAAAGAAAACATGCGAAATAAGACAGTGAAGTTTTCAAAAGAACATCTATCACATGTATGTTGCTTTTTGACTTTCTCTTTCACCAAATTTAACAGTATCTTTTTATTGGACAGAATATTTGGTAAAAATATGCATTTCAAGACATCCTATTCACGATATCACAAGTAATAGAATAATCTAGATGACAGTTAAACGAAATAAAATTAAAAATATAAATTTGGCATATTTAAATGAAATATATTACATTGTTTCCAGCAAAACTTTGTATCATTACATTACATTAAGGTATAATATAAAAATAATGTATTTACATTAGCTGAAATAAAGATATTAGATTTTAAGCATAATGAATGATTGCATGCGCTCATCCTATTACTTGGCAGTGAAGAGAACAAATAACAATGTTTAGCGTGTTAACCAGAAAGGAAAGAAACAGCATACGGGTTGATAATAGCTTAACTTGACGGTTCAGGTAAGTGTCAAAGCGTGGCCATCATTTAAGGGAACTTGATCCACCTCGGCGTAGTTGACTCACTTACCGAACATCTATGATGGATTGGCGAATGCCGACTGGGCGGCGACTGAAATATAATATTTGACAGTACAACTTCGAGCCACGGAGTGAAAAGAGGATTCATTCACACGTAGTGTGAAGCAATTGGAAATAAAATACATTACTGTCTTATTTTATTTTTTGTATTATTGAATCGTTCTTCGTGAATTGATCATGGTGTGAAGTTAAAATATATTGCAATACAGGGAAATAATATTGGCTTATTGTCAATGTATTCTAACACGTTTCAAACGCACCTTAGCTTCTGCCTGAGATAAAAAATACTAATGAATAATAGAAGAAAGAAAACTGGAAACACAACATTAATAAATCTAATGGAAATGCAATCATGAAGAATTTAGATTAATATATATTAGTTAGCAATATATATGTGTTGTGGTAGGATCCACCTAATTTGCATAATGGAGTACCGACCATATAAATATGGTTGGTACCGGGAAGAGAGGGAGGAATCAAGAGATTCAACCAGAGACTCTTCCCGACAGCGACCTAGTAAACACATTCTCCAGGAACGGTCTTACCAGGAATATACAAAAGACTATATGTAAATATTGTGTACACTTTCTTGTTTCAATACATTTTGTTCTAAGTACATTTTGTCTTGCATTATTATTCCATGCATTAGTCAAGTTTCAACAATATGTAACTGGTGTTTTAGCACAGAAATTATATAAATCACTTTATAATTATTCAAACTAATTTTTTATAGATATTGTAGCTTTATATTTTATAATCTACTCAAATTTATTATAATAATGAAGAGTTAACTCTTTAATAATTCAGATGCTATTAAAATTAAAAACTACATAGAAAATCTAACACCCGATGATACAGGGATTCAGAAATATAAAGGGTTGTTAATTTCTCTCTATAATTTCATCATAATAAACATAGCTTTTCCATAATTTTCTTGTTTATTATGACAGGCGAGATATTATTTTTAAATAAGTAATTAGAGTGGGACCTCGGGTCACAAATTCCTGTAGGCTGTTCGTAACCCGAAATGTTAGTAAACCGAAACTATTTTTCCAATAGGAATCTATGTAGTGAAAAAAAAGTCAGTAAAATAAAATTGGAAAAGAAAAACACGCCAAGATACACAAATGTACACAACACAACCATCGACTCAAAATTTATTCCGTTCGGCAATGTTGTTCCAGAACCGACATTTTGTACGATGACCGAGGATTTTTATCTCGAATTTTCTGTTCGAAAACCTATTTCTCCGACATGTGAGACGTTCGAAGACCGAGGTCGCACAGTATAACAAATAAACAAATCCTTAATAACTGGTTCTTTCTGTAATGAAGATAATGCGTCGGCTAATAATAACACGAGATCGAATCTTTCGTTTTTCATTGACCTTTTATTTTACTTAAATTCATCGTCAGTTATATTCCACCTGGTTGTGGTACGGCCCAATGGTTGTGTGGTCTGACACGAAGATCTTACATTGTTTACTACATGTGTAGGAAAGTGTTCAACTACTTTCTGGAAGGGTTGTTTTAATATCAATTCATCCAACGGTTTTTCCCTCGCGTGCACATATCAGGCAAAGCCATGCCCACAGATTTACCAGTATTAGTGGTGGAATCACGAATGTCCACCGACAGTTGGGTTCATCTCAAGCCAAACTGCAATCTGGTGCGAAACTGAGTACAGAGTCTATTCCAGCATAACACAACCGTTAAGTCACAAATGTAGTTGTTGTAATCGGCACTAAAACAGTTTCAATTTATGGCGCATGACAACTAGTATGAATGATCTCACCTGACAAATTCGCAATTAGTTGATTTGTTTTTGGGGGTTTTGGGTTTTGTTTTTACAGCTTATAAACCCTTTGGTGATTATTTAAAGCAGACACATAATTTGGGTTGTAGGAGGCTGCTTACAGCATTCAGTGATCTCAAAACGTACCCTAGCTAAAACATGACCGGTCTCGATAATACTTATCTTCAATGATCGAATAAGAACCATTATTATTGACATGATTTCTAATCTCGTGAGATATGCGATGTTTATTCACCACTATCCATGCCAATAAAATTAACATGGAAAGTTGAAAATGCCATCAACTTCATTCGATGTAAAAGAAATAATACTATGAAGCCAACTACTTTTTTTCGTAGTTTTCGTTAAGTGACGTAATACATTTGGCTATCGAATATGAATTTCAGGACAGCATCTCATTCACAGTCGCTCTCTTACAGACGTGCCGTCGCTTCTCTCTGACTTTTCTATAAACACATTCATGGTAACTGCTTCGTCGAGCTATTTTCGCTAGTTCCCAAAATGCATGAATTTAAACGCGATACTATGTCGGCATCTCACCCTTTCACTGTCGAAACGGTTAAATGTAGTTGTCTCTTCTACTCCAATAGCTTGCTGTCTCGCACTTCCCGCCTGTGGAACTCCCTTTCTCTTACTTGCTTCCCTGATACATATAATCTCCAACTATTAAAATGCAATGTCAATCGACATCTCCAGATGCCTCGATCGATTCCCCACACTTCTCTTCATCCTTTCCTCTATTACGCCTCCTTAATATTTCTCCTACTCTCTATAACCTCTTGCTTGCTAGTAGCACTTCTGCCTTGCTTGGGATGAAAAGCTTAAAAAATATATATATTCAATTGATATTTGAAAAGATAGTGTAAATGAAGTCATTATATTATAGTATTAAGTATTTGTACAATTTTAATATCAAATGCTCCTTTGGAAGTTATAAATATCTAACAAATTACTTATTAAATTGAGCCATCTGAATATGTACTTATCGATAAGATATGATTAAATAATTTAAATGCAAAAAACAGTATTCATACGATTACACGTTT